TATGTATTTGTTTTTGTACTTCTAGATCCCTTATCGTTAGTATGCTTACAATCTCGCGCCCTTCCTCTCTAATGTTTTTTAACTTCTCTTCCCGACATTCCGTTCATTCGAAAATACATTTCTGACTCCCATCTTCTCTTATTTTCGCTGTTTCTCTCTATTTCCCTAAAGCGCTCTATCAATATTTTATTATCTGAATTCTTCCTTTTTTCTTCAAATTTAATCTCTTTTACCTGATTCTATCCTTAGCAACTGTCTTTTTGTTTTTTCTCTAATTATATATCCGGGTGTATTTCAATCTAGTCCTAATGCCCATTTTATAAATTTATTCTGACACCTTTCTATTATTTCGTATTCTTTCCAATTCCAGATTTCTGCCCCATTCATTATTATACTCTTCACTAAGTGGTCAAACATCCACATTTTTCTTTTGAAATTTCCGACAAATTTCCTTTGTCCTATCCTCCAAACTTGCTTCATTGCACATATATCTTTTTTATATGTTTCTTTGATATGTCCGCGCTATTATTACTTTCTAACGTGTAACCTAAATATTTAAAATAATCGACTTCCTCAATCTCTGTTCCGTTTCAAAGCCACACTTCTTTTTTCCTCCTTCCATTCCCTTTTCTAAACATCATCATTTTTTATTTTTTTACACTGAGAATTAATTCTCTTTTCTCTAAAAAAATTTGAAAATCTATTTAACATTTCCCTCATATCATTAGCTTCCCTCGCCATTAATACGATGTCATCTGCATACGCAAGATCCCATATCTTCTCTTTGTTGATCACCAGACCTTCCGTTTGTCCCCTGTGGAGCACCTCCTCTAAATCCACTATATATATTGCGAACAGTGTTAGGCTCAAATGGCATCCTTGTCTTACTTCTGCATTTGTCCAGAACTCGTTAGAGTATGTTCCGTTTACTAACACAGTATTAACTGTTTCCTCCTATATTTCCTCTATTCTCCTTATCAAATGTCTATTTATTTCTTTTTTCTTCATAATTGTCCATAATTTTTTTCTGTTTATGATATCGAAGGCTGCTTTCAAATCTGCAAAAAAGCGTATACTTTTCCTTCTTTTTTATTTATTTCTTTTTCCACAACATAGTTTAATATATAACTATTGTCCATCGTGCTACGTTTTTTCCTGAACCCTGCTTACATATCTGGAAGATTATTTTTCTCTACCTTCTATTTAAGCCTTTCTTCTATAATCATGGTATAAATTTTATATGCCGTATTGAGAAGCGAGATACCACAATAATTCGTTACCTTATCTTTGTCACTTTTTTTATATATAGGAACTATCACTTCCTTCCTCCAACTATTTGGGAAGCCTTCCTTCCTCCAGACTCTGTACAATTTCTAATAACGTACGTTTTGCTTCATCTGTACGGTATAACCAGGCTTCATTTTTTACTTCATCTTTGCCTGCGGCTTTCTTCTTTCTCAGTTTCTTTATTTAATTTTCCATTAATTTTAAAGTGATCTCATTTTCTGCATCTGATATTTGTTCTTCTTCTTTTGTTTTCTGTTTTTCTTTCCTCAGAGAAGTCCCAAAATATCTATATTGTCTATATTGTCTATATTGTCTCCATTCCTCTTTTGTGATTCGTCCTGAAATGTTTCCTCTTTTTCTTTTTTCATGTTTATGTATTTCCATGTTTCCATTTCCATACTGATTTTCCTTATTTTTCTTCTTTTTCTAAATTTTCTTTCCTGTTCTTGCAGAAATTCGAGTATTGTTGTCTGTGATATCTATATTCTTCTAATAGCTTTCTGTTTTCTTTGC